TGTCTCGTGAGAGCTTACATTATATCTAACCCATTTTCCAACTTCAAACTATTCTTCTAACTAACTAACTTAATTTTTTAAAGTTTATTTTAAACTGTCACCAAAACATAACGCTAACAAGATCTTATAAAACACAGCATCTTTATTATATACTTATTTTACGTCATCGCACACTAAAGGCTCATAGTTATATCTTATTGTACTGGACATATGTATTTAAACACTAAGCTAATTAAATATGTTACGTGTGACAATAAGAAAGCTTATGAAACACAATAATTTCTAACATAAATTAGAATGTATGAATAATAAATATTAATTAAGCTTGTGGTCTTGTCAAAGGTCAAAGTTATCGTCAAGTCAATTGCGATCACTCAGCAAGTACCTACTATTGTTTTAATTTTAAACTATGCTATTATCTTTTAGTAAATAACATAATAATTTAGTTATCGACATAATTATTATATAATATCATTATTATTACCTTACGTATTTATCTATACATATAATAAAATCGTAAGTAAGCCGAATCTGTACATTGAATAGTTTTTGGAAAATCTTATTGAAATAGACTTTATTATCGATACAGAGACCGAATCTATAGTTTTTTGAATTTTTGTCTATCTTTCTGTCTGTTACCGCATCACAGAAAAACCACTGGAGGGATTTTGATGAAATTTGGTATGATGATGGCTGGTTATCCTGGTCAACATATAGAATACTCTTTACGGCAGGAAAGAAACTCATTTTTGAGAAAAAATACAAAAACTGCAATGTATCGCGAGCCGCGGGCAATGCTAGTTATATTATATTATTATTATTTTAATTTTTGAGAAACCTTTAGAAAATGTTATTCGTATCAAGTAAATCTAAAGTTGACGTGTTTTAACTTTTAACATTTCTTTTACCCATAACGCTATATAGACAGTTTCATACACATTAAAATAGGATAACAAAAAAGCTTAAAAGTAATTAGAAAAACATTCTGAATTTTAAATTAATTAATGAGATATCACTATTATGAGGTGTTGTGAAATAGGCAGTAAGCCTATGATCAGATTACGGTCAACAATTCAACAAACAGTTTAAAATGTTTCTAGTTTCTAGTAATTATTTTAACATAACATACCTGGATTTTGTATTCACGATATTAGGTATATATTACCTAGTCAGCTCTACCTTTTGGCAAATTTTATTATTAACTATATATATATATATATATATATATATATATATATATATATATATATATATATATACCTTAATCCGTCCAGCCATTTCAATGTGAAGGAGTAACAAACTTACATACACATACGAACTTTCGGATTCATAATGGTAATAACTAATAATGTGATCAATTTCGAATTAAAAATAAATATAAGTAATTATTAGCTCGTTTCAAATTAAAACAATAATATTTCATAACTAAGAAATGAATAAATGTTGTGTTTACCATTCATTTTATTATCAATAAAACGTATCTCAGCTTCCACGCGTGATGTTCAACTCGACCCCGATCCACCACCACCCTAGATCTCATATTATCAAAAGAACATTGCTAAATACGGATGTTAACTTTTAAATAAACAAGAAATCAACCTTGTATAAAAAACTAATGCTATATACATATGTATAACAAAAGCAATACTTTAGAGCTTATTTTAACTGTCAGTTTATCTGCAGCTATCTGAAATTATCTGAAATGACTTAACCGATTTTAATAAGACTCTCACTTGCAAACATGGGCGAGTGATATATACTATTCGTATTGTTACACACAAGCAAGGTAAAAAAATTATAATATAAGGATACATATTATGTAGAAACTCATTATATTATTCTAGAAAATATTATAATGATCAAGTAAAAACTGGGCAAATGGTTTATAATTTGAGCGTTCGATGCAAAATTCTTGTAAGAAATTATGTAACCACAAGAAGGAGAGTTACTACATATTCATGCACGGCCTCTTCCGTCCAGCCATCGGCTGATTACAGAAGCCTAGGTCTACGTATAAAACGTTAGATATAAATAGATATGCGCATAGCTCGTCTTTTAAAAGTTAAATCGATTGTAGGTCGGTTATCAACCATGGATAAATGGTATATAACATATACCTCAGTTGATAAACGAACTACTAACTTATTAAATTATTTAATTAAGTTTAGTTTAAGTATATATAGTTATGAAATATTTTTTAACATTTTCATTCTTTATTTTCATACAAATATGGATACTTATAAGTATTTAATTTAAAACATAAGTTTTCGATTGCGTATATTCAAAAGAGGAGTAATGTAAAAAAAAATTGTTTCATATCAAACCACGAAATTCATACAGTAGTTCCAAATATAAAGTTACACATCTATATCTATCACTCAATGTCTTTGTTTCGCCATGTCACTATCTATCCCTGGAAAGCTCTTTAGGATATATGGAGGACATGGAAAAAAACTATGTCAGTAGGAGATATGATTGAGATTGGTTCAGTACCTACTAGATCAAGAAAATGTAATACACAGACATCCACATTTATACTGTAAAATATACTTTACAGAATTTGAATATACTAATATCATAATATGAATAGGTAATTATAAAGTTAAATATTAGCTCTATATGTAAAATCTTTAGAAAGTGTTTTATGTAGCTAAAGGTAAGGAAAATAATAATATTAATAACAAAAATAAGTTCAATTGAAAATATTATTAGAAATAACTGATAAACGAGTCCGAGAATACTTACGATATATAGTGAATTATATTTAACATAATATACATGTACATACTAAACATATGAATCTAGTTTCGTAAGGAATTACGCTAAGGAGCGGTGATCGTAAAAAGGCTTTTTCAATAATTAAAAGTACAAAGTGTCACCTTAGCTCATAACATTTACATCAATGACTTAAACGTGACGATCAAGTAACAGTCTATTATCTCGTATGTTTAAAACATTTGTTCAAACAAATGGCGTCCATAACATAATATTTATAGGTTTAGGAATGCATAGAGTACAGACAAACAAAGAAACAGTCTTTTTTATTTAAATAGACTAGTTCCGCATGCGTAGTACTAAAAGTATTTATAACTATACCTTTAATAAAAAAATATTTACAATAATAAATAAATATTTAAAATAAAAAGTGAACTAAAAAGAACAGAACAAGTTGACGTAGGAACATAGTGATGATGTACTCCTGACCGTTTCTGGCCACGGCGGCCAATCTCACTGAGACTAGCCAGAAGATATTATAGTGCACAAGTATATGTGCAGACACAAGTGCACTCTCAATTCCTGTGACTCTCATATTCCGGTGGAACGACTGCTCGACACGACCAGTGAGAGTTAAGGCGCAGGACCGACGGCTTTACGTGCTCTCTAAGGCACGGGGATGAAACACCGCCAACATCCCAACTCCGGGAATTATTACTGAGGCTAACTATACAGAAAGACTCAGTAGCTAAACTTGGCCCGACCCGGAACTCGAACCCAGGAACATAGTATTATGCAGTCGAAGACATACATGTACATACATGTTTTAGAATAGCTGTGTTACGCTGGTGTATAATAAAGTGTAATCAAAGTCCATTCAGTAGTTTTTTGAAAGAGTAACAAACATTCATCTATCCATTCATCCTTACAAACTTTCTCGTTTATAATATAAGTATAGATAATAATTAATACTGTTAGCTACGTAATGAATATTGACTTAAAATATAACAAAAAAAAAATATCTATCTTCAAATTATCTTTATTGATAACACTCGATCTTGTCAATAACTACTATTTGATTAGGTATCTATAGTAAACGAAAACTACCAATCAGTTATTTTTTACTTTTTAGTGTTTTTTTTGAAGTCGGTTTTTTTAAACTTTTTTATATGTATAGATATAGACATAGACTCTGGCGCTTCATATTAACTCTAGTTAACTAATAAGGAGGACTCGCGTGCCTCTTGTACTTTATCAGAGTTTATAGACCCATGGTTATTTTACGTGTTCCCTATAAATTACATGTGCTCCATTTTTTAGGCTTAGAATATTTAGCGGAAAAGTCGAAATGCCTGAATTTAGATTTGGTATTTATCTATACTAATATAATAAAGAGGTAAAGATTGTGAATTGTGAGTTTCTGACGTTTTAGGGGGTAATCTCTGGATCTACTCAACCGATTTAGATTAAATTTGGTAAGTAGATAGTTTGAGACCCTGGAAAGGACATAGAATACTTTTATCCCGGAAATCATGCCTTAACGGGGTGAAAATGGTGATGAAAGTTTGTATTGGGAAGCAAGCTAGGGACGCACCCGAGCGAACATTTACATAAAAAATGAAACCACATAATTCATCGTTTACACTACACGCTTAGAAATAACGAATTTCAAGTAATTGTCATGTTGGGCCCGTACAATAAGTCTTTTGTATACAATAAGAATCCTAGACTCTTTATTAGAGGAGGTAATATTGCATTTGATTTTTGAAAATTCCTTTATAGGTTTTGAAAAGAGAAATAAAAGAAATATATTTAATTAATATACAATATTTTATTTAGTTATTAAATAATTAACTCCGATGAATAAGGTGATATAGTAAGAAGAAGCAAACTTACGATTATTCTAGAATATTTGATTGATAAAACAATCAAACAGAAAATAGCGTAGGAATAAAAGCGTTAAACTTTATTACAAAACGCATGAAATCCTAATAAAAACAATTAAAATACCAATTATTATAAACAATGCAATTAAGTACTCGAGTAATATTCGTATGGATGAAGCATTCGTATAAAAATGTATGAAGTGATCCTGACCATTAATTTGTCACTTAAGATTGCGTCAACATATTGTATGTAACATTGTGACAAACACTTGTCGACTTATTGAAATAAATTGAACGCCGGAATATGCTAAGAATTATTATTAATCGTTTTATACAATTAGACCGCTTATCAATTTGTAGCGTTGGTACTTAAAGATGCCAATTGAAACTTGAAAATTAACCTAATTATAAAGTTATGTTCTTAATGGGTTCATTTACCTAAGTAATAATGTGTGGTGGTATACCCTTCGTTCAAGTAGAAACAGGCAAAGGAACGATATATTTTTTCGATTATATTAAATTGATATCTACGAGTATAATCGTCGTGGCAACAGAAAAGTAAAAAATATATGAGAATTTCCGTGCAATGTGACATTTTCTGAGTATTTGAAACGTTCAGAAACAAATATGACATAATACTTATGTTTAGATATGTCGTTTCCATACGCACTTCAGTATTTTATAAGTTATAGCGATTGTAGAATCTAATACATATTTTGTGTATAACCATCTCATCATTTAAGTGCATGTGAGTTTGTTCCAATATGTTGGCTAACGTAAGAGTAGGTGTCCTTTATTTTTTGTATAGTAATATTATAAAGAGGCAGAGTTTGTTTGTTTGAACGCGTTAACCTCAAGACCTACTAATACGATTTGAAAAATTATTTTTGCATTAGATATAGGTATATTATCATGCTCAAGGGAGTGGGAGCAGTAATCGTAAATGTCAACAAATGGGACAGACGATACATCGCTGAGTCGGTGAGTTGCTAGTAGGAATTTTCTACGTATACAAGTCTAGTGACTTGTATTGCTACAAATTCATATAATGTACATAAAAGACAGATATAAGACCCGCCATTCATATATATATTATACACTTTTAATAATTGTGCAAAATTAATCGAGGAGCAAGGAGACACGCTTGTACATCATATCTATCATATTATAATATCATAAGGAAAATCTATTTAAAAAAAAAACACAAAACCAACAATAATATCAGTTCCCAAAGAAAACAAAAGAAAATTCTGCATTCATTATCTTCAAATATATTTTTTATTTGTAATAAACACGCTGTTAGCTCGACAATTTTCTTTCAACCACACTTACTACGTTGATTCAATGAAAGAGCAGACGCTAGACGAATCTGACTTAGAGAAAAAATAAATTTACACATAACATAAAGCTATTTAGCTAAAACTTACTTATTATTATTATATTACATAGTGACAATTTCAAAAACCCTTTAATATAATATAGAATAATTATAGAGATAGAAAATTTTCTTTAAATTTCATTTATTGTGAAAAAGGGCATTTTACAACATTATATGTTTAAATTATTCGTTTATAGATTAATGTCTACGCCCACTGCAAGTATCGGATTATGATATTGTGTCCGGATTGCGAAACTCATCATCATAAACACAGAGCTGTTTCAGTAATAACGAATGTAAATGCTTTACCAGTCCAGTGTATTGCTTTAGGGTCCACGTATAAAAATAAAGGAAAAATTTGTATTTCTGAATGGTGTGATGTAGAAATTATATAAAAATGCAACTATGTTGAAGTTCTCAATAGAACTTGTGAGATTTTCTTGTTCATTTCATATATAATAATTATTCTAGTAGTTTATCACGGCGAGCGAAGCGAGTCCTACACTATTCCAGAATCTATGCATTTTTGTGGTACACTTTACTTAGAAACTATAACACTTTCAGATTTAGGCTTTGACATATATTTTATATTCATATCTAGATTTGTTATCAAACATAAAAATATTATTTTATGTATATTTAAAAAAAATAAAAGATATAACAATTTTCGTTAATTAGATTTTTATTGTATTACTAACGTCATCTGTAAGAAAACTAAAAAAAATACTTTTATAATAGGAATGGAGCAGAACTTGACAATTAGCTTTTCTTAATTTTTTTTTTTTGATGAAATAGATATGAATAAAAATGATTCGTCGTATGAATTCTTTACAGAAGCCCATGTTAATAATAATCGATAAATTAAATTATTTACAGTTATTACTAATATTTACAGTTTCGAATAAGTGCTCTCTATTTTTAAGACAAGTTAAACATTCATTCGTTGCATAATGTGCAGTTTCCAATGAATTCAATAAAAAGTAACTTATAGACGGAATTCCTAGAACGTAAGCAAACAATTTCACACAAACAAAACTTCCTACAACAGTTAATTTATTATAATTACCACACTCGAATAATCTCAAATACAGGCACTCGACATTCCAGTCTGTAAGAAGGTGTATAACCCACAGCAATCGATAGGGTTATACAATTCGATGATAAGTATTTAGAATTTTCAAAGTAAAGTGATATAAAAAAGAATTAATAAATATTTTTGATAACCACAGGATACTTAGAATTCCTTCTCGGTCATAACAATCAAGGCAGTGGTAGCCCAGTAGCAGTAGTAACGCGCTCGCTTGGGAAACCGAGTGAAGCGAGTTCAAATCCCGGGTCTCGCACCTCTGATATTTTCATATGCGAATTATTTCCAACATGATTACCACTTATCTTAACGGTGAAGGAAACCATCGTGAGGAAACCTGCATGTCTGAGAGAACGTAGTAAGTTTTCAAAAAGACATGTGAAGTCCGCCAACCCGCACTTGCCCAGCGTGGTGGACTATGGCCTGATTCCCCTCGTATTGAAGGGAGGCCCGTGTCCAGCAGTGGAACGTTTAAAAGGGCTGAATACATAACAATCAGAAATGATTGAGCAAGGAAGAGGTGAGCAGTATACGATTATTGTAGAAATAACAAAATATGATTTGGTATATATAATGTGTTGGTCAGTACAACAATCGAAAAATAAAAAAAAAATTTGTTCAACAATTATGACCTTTTTTTTAAAGAAAATACTTAATAGAAAGTAAGATTTTTTTAATTAAAATTTCTGAGTAAATAAAAAAAACTACTTATAACCAATCTGGCTTTGTATATGCTAATTAAAAACCAAACCAAATTAACCGCATTATGAAGATTTTAAAGCACAATCTATTATCTATATTATAATTGTATTCGGAATCAATAACATAAGTTATTCTGAAGGGAAATAAATAATGTTTTCTCTTCGCAATTTTAGTCAAAATTTATTAGTGCCATCAAATTAAGGCTCCAGAAAAAAGCTATTTCTTGGCTTTTTATTTAATCTTATAAAATAAAATTAGCGATATTTCTCATGTACCTACTAATATTTATCAGATGAATGAAAATACCCGATCGCCATAGAGAAACTTACTTGGCTTTCGTGTCGTAAGTTAAATATACAACTTATAAATATACCTATTTCATTTTCAGTGATTTCATATAAAAATAACAAGTAAACTGAGAACTACCTTTTTTAGAAATCTAGTAAAATATTTTTTGATAAAGTGCCTACATAAGTTAAAGATTTATCAGAAATATCAGCCCTGAAGGCATACATTCAACCATTTAGTACTTCCGCATCTCTTAAATGCATCAGTAATGAATAACGGTTTTGTTTATTCATAAATTACGTAACATTGTAATAGCTAGTAGGTACTAAATATTTTTTTATGATCTCTTTATATACAAATGATTTATAAGTTCTTTAATATTAGCTTCAAACCATTGATATACAAACTATAAATACACAATTAGCATTACAAAAGTGACCTCAAAAAAAGTGCACAATTCGAAACTGAATTACGTTTTTTTCAAATCTCTTTTGTTCATTTGACAAAATTAAAACTCAGGTTGTTTTTTGTTTATAAAAGTACTTATGCGGTGTCCGAAAGTTCGAATTTGTGTTTAGACAATTAGAACTTTCGGTTGTTGAATTTTATTCTTTGGTTTGATTTAACGTCACATGTCGATGTGACGTTAAGTCGAATCAAAGAACAAAATTCAAAAATTGTATGTATGTATGGGATGGGACATATTTAGTTAATCGATCGAGTGGGGTATCAAACTACAGGTTTTTAAGAGGCATTTCCATATACATATATACACAACTTATGTATATGTTTGAAAATCATTTAAGATAAGTAATTGTTAAATAAAACTATAGTGTCTAACTAACCAAAACTAAAAAGTCTTAAATAAAAATAATATTCACAAAAATAAAAAACCCGACTGTGTTAAAAGCATACAAAAAATTAAGAACAAGTTGACCAAGAAACATAATGGGATTTCATCACAAATAAGGAAAAAATAGTTCAAATAAATGTCAATAGATGACGTTACATGTGTCGATTTGTTTTTAAAGTTGCTTTAAATTAATATTCTATGAGAAGGGAAACGAAATAATGCGCCCCTTAGGGGCGATTTGATTTGGATCAAATATATTTGGATAAAATCGCAGTTTTTTTTATTCGAATGCTGGATGAATTTTACAATATTTACCATGCATTAGTTTGCACATATTTATAAAATAAAACAGTTTAACTATTTGAGAATCAATAACATCTATTTTCTACTCAAGCAAACAAAACTGAGAATTAGCGCTGTTTAATTTCTTTGTATGGGATGAGGTACCTGTACTAGTATAGTGTATGATATCGGCTGTTAGGCAGTCGAAGGCATATATATGTAGATACAAGTAGCAAGACTCGTTAGTATAAAACTTTTATGTCTCATGTGTAGGAAGGATAAAGACAATATGTCAGTCTTGTTTACATTTAATATGACTGACTAGCCAACAAATTCCCAGGTGCCAGAATATCCCATAAAATTTTAATTGATTATGATGGAATTTCATGGCGAGTATTAGACTATAAAGCTTTTAATAGATCTTTCACGTCTGATTTCTATTCAAATATCTTCAAACGAATAAAAAATATCAAGTGTTAATTTAGTATCTCAAAACTATAAAAACTCTTAAACAGTGCAATAATGTATAACATGTTGCAGTGACAACCATATTTATAATCAATATGTCCGATAATTATAAAAAAACTATTATATTTTAAAGGTGACTACTATTCTTAATATCACGAGTACATACTATTATTCCTCATATATGTAAGTAGTAATGCTGCAAGTCGTCTTACCTTGCCTCGTCGAGACACTAGTTTTTGGGATATGCACAATGCATAATATGTACTATAGACTTACCTGAACAGTCAATTTCGTCCGCCGCATCATCGCAGTCTTGGACGCGATCACATCGCTTATCAGCAGCTATGCAGCGGGTCTCATCGCATCGGAACTCGTTATCGGGACATACTGCTAACAAAAGAATACTTTAAACATTCTGCATTTAGAAAAAATGTTTTATTTTTGATAGTTTTAAAAAACTTTTTCTAATTTTGTTTTATATGAATTTAATGTTATTCGTCAAATCAAAACTTTTATGTCAAAATTGGAGGTTAAGATTCGTTTTTTTAGGATTCCGTACCAAAGGGTAAAACGGGACCCTATTACCAAGACTCAGCTGTCCGGCCGTCTGTCTGTCTGTCCGTCTGTCACCAGGCTGTATCTCATGAACCGTCATAGTTAGACAGTTGAAATTTTCATAGATGATGTATTTCTGTCACCGCTATAATAAGAAAGTTAGAGCAACAGGCAATTCTAAAAAACTGAATAAAATAAATATTTAAGGAGGATGGCATACAACAGATATGATTTATTTGCTGTTTTTATTGATAATGGTACGGAACCCTTCGTGCGCGAGTCCGACTCGCACTTGGTTTATAATTTTTTTAATTACGCTTTACATTTTTAAATATTGGCATACTTTTAGTGAGAGATAACAAAATAATTTTGTACCCTTAATTCACATGGCTATTCTTTAGACATAAGATCTCATTTCTACAAGGACATTAAACTGATGAATGGTTTTCATTCATAATAAAAAAATATTATATTTTTTTTACTTCTTAATCATACTCATTAATACAATATTTATTTTAATATCACAATATATTCCGCAGGAAAATAAGGATCCCATCCAAACTAAAAACACTAGCCTCGTCTCAACCTATGAGCAAGGTAGCCGAGGGTGTTACCAGCTCATTTAGTCTCATTTAAATTGCTTCTCTCTTCTCACTATCCCATATTTTAATATTAACTGCTATAAATATGATTTATTTTTTATGTGTTTGATATTTGCATCATTTAGCTTTTTCTGATTTCATCATTTGACTTTTGTAATCCGTGTAGATATAAGTAACGTTCGTGTCTTCTCCATTCTACGTAACAATGACAAAGTAAGGTGTGCTCAACGGAAATTATAATTCAATTAAATTGAATTCGCCATTTATGTTCAAAAGTCGCCATGTACATTATAAGTACAATATAGAAAACTTCCCAAGTCCCAGGTACAACAAATTTACAACGTCAAAACAAAATAGCTTATAAAACAGACTTTATTTAAACTGAAACAAGGCTATATTTTTTACTAGTCATGGCATTGTAAATTGTAGCCAAATATTTCTGTAATTATCTTGAAATGAATTTTAAAACATTTTTTTTTACTAAAATTTGTTTTATAATTAATATACATATTATTATTATACAATCGAATCAATCGCAGATATATCTAATGAATGATAGTGGTAGCCGAGTGGTAACGCGCTTGCTTGGGATACTGAGTAGAGCGAGTTCAAATCCCGGGTCTCGTACCTCTATATTTCATGTGCGAATCATTTCCATCATGATTTCCACTAGTCTTACGGTGAAAGAAAACATGGACAGGATGCATGCCTGAGAGAACCTAGCAAGTTTTCGAAAAACGTGTGAAGTTCGACAACCTGCACTTGGCCAGCTTGGTGGTCGATGACTGTGAGCCCATGCCCATGTGAAACGTTAAAAATGGTTGAATATCATCTAATGAATAATGAAACATTGTCGTCTTGATTGAATAACGATCTTACTCTGTATATTCTACTATTTTATTATAAAACCAGCCTCAAAATATATATTACCACGTTTACGGCAAAAAATAAAAACAATAATTCGCACATGTGCAATAATTTTAAAAAGCTAATTTAATGTGTATATCCCTTTCCCTTCAGCTATCCTAAATCAAAGAATCTTGTTGCTTCGCTATTGCAATGAGATTTGAACTGAAATTAAACTTTTAAACTGAATGCTTAGTTCTCTTATTGGTATTGATTAATTAATAATATAGCTGTTATATTTTATCTTGTCTGCGCATACTCAGATACTACATCTGCCTATTGTCGGCTTATATTTACAGTACAGCATAGATATAAGTGCAATTCATTATATATTTTTATTATACTTCGTATCTCTCCCGAAGATGATTATGTTTACAAGCAGCAGTACGCCAGATTAATGCTGTCCTAATCACTTGTCATCTTGATTCAACTGTCATTATTCAGAGCTTATTTTTCCGATTGATCCCGGGTTTTAAATAATTTTTGGGCAGGGTGAGATTGTAATCATCTTCGTTCAAGAGACTCGTATAATAAGAAATGAAACATCACACGGTAAGTTCGTTTGATTCCCAATTATTATACTTCATATACTGAAAAGGCTATCAGAAAATTAATAAAAAGGTTTTTCTTATTTTAAAGTTATTTTATAAGAACTTTAAAAATCTTTAAAAAGTGGCACGCTAATAAAAAAATTTATAAAATTTCACGTAAGCCTTCAACAGGCCGAGTCAAAATCACCACCGAAAATGATAATGAAAATCGTGATTTTAATTTCACTTTACAATTTATACTTTAAAAACATACCTAAAATATTTATTCGTATATTAGATACATTTTCATAATATCCTTACTATTATCGTATGGTCCTTCTTGTCCTGGGGCATCTGTGTCCGTTTCAGTTTCTCCATTCGGAATTGGGTTGTCAGGTGAACCTTGGATTGAATTAAAAAAAAATAAAAAAAATAAAAAAAAATAAAAAAAATAATGTTAAAATGCACGACAACCTGATGATTACCATACCTATGTCATAATAATCAACGTCCCCTCTTTGCCGTTCCTGAGGAGCCATTGTAGTGGTGTCATAAGGTATTATAAGTTCATCTTCATCTGGATTACCATTAGTGTCCTGATCTTCCTCACGATCCGAAACCTGACGGGTCTCCTCTTCTTCTTCCTCTTCTTCTTCTTGGTAAAGAAATAAAAAATAAATAAAAAAAAACAAATAAGAAACTTAAAAAGTATTTGATTAGATCCATCTGGCTTACGAAATATTGGTTTAACGGTTACAGCACCAAAAAATTTAAATGATCAATTTAAATTTTTTTAATGACGTTATTATATATTTATATATGTAGTAACAAAGAGCTTACATTTAATTGAACTTACATTTTGGGTTCAAAAGCTGTTTACAAAAGCCAAGAAGAAGTATCATCGTAATGTTTTATCTCCGTCTTTTATAAATGAAAAATATATAAGGAAACGAATAGAAATAATAAAATAAAAAGTACCAGTAGGGCAATTTAATTCGTCTGAACCATCTGAGCAATCTTCGTGTCCATTACACTTAGCGGATGCAGGAAGACAACGATCGTCCTCAACACATTTCAGCTCACCAACAGCGCACGTGTCCAAAGATACATATCCTATCATAACATATCCTTTCATTGATAATTTATTTTTTATAACTAAATTAGTTTTCAAAATTTTATTAATGCCATAACTTTAAAATAGCAGATATAAATGTTTACTTCTATCCTGAGATGATTGTTTAATGAAAATAAAGCATCTAGTGATAACTTAAAAATATCAGCTAAGGAAAATTACTTGTTCTATTTTACTACTTTGAGATAAAACAATATGATATGGTTCACCTTGGTCAATAACAGTTGAGCTAAAGTCCACGTCGTTCACTGCAACATTTCCCAGCTTCCTCTTATTACGAATGTATTCGTGGAGAATGCTAGCTATTCTGTCGGTGTCTTCGGAGCCTGTTGTAACTATTTCCAGGGTAACTTTGCAAGAAAACTCATCAGTTGGCCGAGATCTGAAAGTAATAATAATTTTATGCCATTTTGTGATAAATATTTAAAAAAAGTTAAGCTACATATTAATATAACTTTTATTTGGCATATTGGTATTGAATTGTAGTACCATATAATGTTGTGTAGTTTTACTTTTAAGTTAAAAGTAGGTATAGGAATATCTATGATAAAAAAAGAAAATAACCTTCACCTACCTATCTACAAATTATTATTATAGGGTTATAAAAAATTTAAGGTCCAACATTTATATGTGGTAAAAATGCGTCATATCACATAGAACTAAAAATGGTTTTTTTCGGTTAATAGTTCTGCATCGTATGAAACAAGACAATTCTTATCTACCCAGCTATAAAGAGTTTTAATCTAAGTCCATACGATCTTATGTGTATTCGGAACTTAACATTTTAACTAACGATATTATTGCACAGCTCTATAACTAAAACTATATATTCCATTCTACAAAATATAAAACTCACTGTATCCTGACTAGGCTTGCACGATGAGTGCCGGGCACATCTGCATACACTGCGTTGACGGCTTCCGCTAGAGACGAACTGAAGTTTTTGAACTCAGGGGAGTCCCTATTCGAGTAATTTTGCTGATAGGGTTCCATTACTACGAAAGTGACTCGGATCGTTTCTGAAATACATAATGATATAAAATATGAATGAGACTGTATGTCATCACTTTTAATAAACTTATTAGAATTCATTGACTGTGCTCAATTTCAGTGTTTAATTTCTCCTCGTAATTAATATAAAGCAAATATGCTTGAATATTGAATATGGATCATAAACGCAGCTCTAAGTGTATGCTTACAAAAGAAGATGAAGCCATTCATCGAAAAGTCTAGGTCCTCTGAATAGGACATAGATACCAGTTGTAATAGTTGGACAAATTATTATAACAAATATCCAATAATTAGTTAAACTAAATGGTAATTTAGCCCATTCCAACACTATTAGAGTATTAGAGTGAGTCTGTCTCATACTCCGGTAGCACGAATACTCGACTCGACCTGAGAGAGTTAAGGCGCAGGGCCGATGGCTTTACCGGGTTGTCGAAGCACAGGGGTGAAACACCGCCAATTAATTCTTAGAAAACTATTAAACTATGCTAAGACTATTTAGTGAATTATAATTAGAGTGTACTAAGGTAAGTAAGTATACATATTTCGAAGAACCTTATTTTAGAACAGCATACGAAATAACACAAAGAACACAAATATGTAGCGCAAGCTTACTTCATTTTGATAGCTAGCTACGATTATCATCGTCATGTTACGTGACATAGGGAACGTATAAACTTTGTAACTGCCTCGGTGGTGTAGTGGCTAGCATGTACGGCTGCTCACTTGGAGGTCCTGGGTTCGAGTCCCGGGTCAGGCCAAGTTTAGTTATTGAGTCTTTCTGTATAGTAAGTCTCAGTAGCAGCCCGAAGTTGGGAAGTTGGCGGCGTTTCACCCCCGTGCCTCGGAGAGCACGTAAAGCCGTCGGTCTTGCCCCTTAACTCTCACTGGTCGTGTCGAGCAGTCGTCCCACCGGAGTATGAGAGTGACAGGAATAGAGAGTGCACTTGTGTCTGCGCGTACACTTGTGCACTATAATATCTCCTGCGCAGTTGGCTAGTCTCAATGAGATTAGCCGCCGTAGCCGGAATCGGCTAGGAGAACATCATCATCATCATAAACTTTGTATTTATAAATTCGCACAATCAGACAATTACTTTGTTCTTTTCAATTAATTTTACCGTATTGTTATTAAAGTCAGGTGTCAATATTTACAATATCTATTAAAATATTGCCTGCTATTTTTTCAGTTTTACTTGTGTCATTTCGAGTTTTTGGTTTACATATATATAAAAAATGTTTGTTTGCACAAAAGAATAGGATAAGGCTTCTTCCCTATAAACACATTTTTATGGTTATAAATTTTCCTACAAATTAAACTTCAATTATAAATTCCAAAATGAATTCTTTGATATACCCACTGTTTATATTATTATGACATTGATGAAAGCATGAGTTTATATTAAACTAAATTTGTTTTTTAAACTGATTGCTCTACTACTTTGGACATTTATTTACAATAAAGAAATTTAGAAGTACCTATACTTAACTGAATTCTTATTAATGAATTGATATAAAATATAAATTTAATTTCAGAATTAAGAGTAATTTAACAGACCTACTTCCGTTAAACGACGTCTACAAACTAAAATATTGTACAAAATGTGCATTCAATGCATTCAATGCAAACTTTGTACCATATTTTCGTATGTAGGCTAATAAATTGTTTCTACTACAAGTGATTTATGTAATTGAAGCTAATCTACCTGACAAGTGCCTTTGAATGACATCGATATTCAATTTTAAAACTACATGAAACAAAAAACAGTGCAATGGGTCGTTGCAGGATTGCTTGCACTACAACATCTCTGCGGACGACCTGAACCACGCGGGCCAACCTCGCCTACATCAGGATGCCCTCGATATCGATACCATTTCACTACCTTATTTGAAACCCTTTTTTTATTACAATTGTTTCATCTCGTTCGGAATGGAGAATTATAAAATCTACCACTTAATGAAATTGAAGCCGCAATCTAGACGTTTACTAAATAAAATCACTGAGACCTAACGTCTAGTCTTCGAGGAGTCGAGATATGCCTAGGTATACTAGTTATATCTAGACTATATTCATTCGTTCAACTCGCATAGTTTTTTTTATTTACCGTTAAGTCAGGAATGTGTTAAAATAAATGAGTTTTTAGTGTCTCACTTACAGTTTTAGATTAGAGTTTTTTTTTTCTATTTTAGTAAGGTATTCTGGTTTATGTAATGTGGTTCTGGCATGTACTATGTGTTATAAAAGCCTCTTATTAAATATTATATTAAAAAAATGTTCAATTTTTAGATCATAAGTAGGTACTCACTTTCTTTAAGTTCCGTTTCGACGACGTCAGACAAGCCCGAACCCTCGACAAATTCGGTGTCATTATCTTCGTTTCTTTCTCTGAAAATAATTAAACACATTAAATAAAAAAAATGTTTTATTAAAATTTTAAATTAACTAATTAAATGTTACATAAACAGATGGGCAACACTATCAGCAATAATAAAATATTAACTACAAAGAATACCCATTTATGATGTTCTCCTGACCGATTCCGGCCACGGCAGCCAATCTCATTGAGACTAGCCAACTGCGCAAGAGATATTATAGTGCACAAGTGTACGCGCAGACACAAGTGCACTCTCTATTCCAGTCACTCTCATACTCTGGTGGGACGACTACTCGACACGACCAGTGAGAGTTAAGGCGCAGGACCGACGGATTTACGTGCTCTCCGAGGCACGGGGGTGAAACACCGCCAACTTCCCAACTCCGGGCTGTTACTGAGGCTTAATATACAGAAGGACTCAATAACTAAACTTGGCCCGACCCGGGACTCGAACCCAGGACCTCTGAGTGTACAGCTGTACATGCTAGCCACTACACCACCGAGGCAGCGTTTATAACCCATATTGAAAAACATTTAAAGTAATTCTCAATTTTTGTTCTATTAATTTCCCAATAATTTAACAACTTTGAATAATTGTTTTAAAAATTTATTAGTACCGCGTACCACCATCAATAATAATCATCAAGATACCCAAAGACAACACACACAAAAATATACAACTGAATTAAGAGCCTAACTGCTTTCTTGCAATCGGTGAAAAAGAGAATTTAATTTTAGTAGAAACAAAATTTCTGTCAAAAAGTTCTGAAGGTCTATCTAATGTACAATTGAATTTCAATGGATTTTTGAAATTAAATATTATTCCATATCGAATTCTGCTGACATTTCTATAATAATTTGGTGGTCATCAGTTTTCAAATTTGAATGATCAATATGTTATGTAACAGAAATTAGATAATAATTTATCTAATTTCTGCTACATCGGATATCTAAACATCGGACCTGAGTCAGGAACATTTGATAATACTGTCTTAGTAAATCACGTGTTTAGTTCTTTTTTAATAATAATAATAATACTTCATTTTCTCAAAAAAATGTTTGCACTTGTGAATTAACATTTGTATCTTATTTTAGTATTACATAAAAATTAATATTAGTCGGATGCCTCTATTGCCGTACTAAGAAGCCTGTGTTTTAAAAGATTTAATAATATTTTCTTGATTAATGTAAAATATTAAATATACTTACAGCTCCTCATCTTCCGTAAAGTTTTCCTCGTTGTCAGGAGCAGGCGTCGACCAAGAGAATAAGTCTGAAAACATTTTTATTTTCTTTAAATAAAAATTATAGTTAAAAATATATAGCTAGAGTTTAATTACAAAGTCTTTTAAAATATTAAATAATATTTTATGTTAAATTATTTCAGGTTTTGAAACAACGAGAATAATGTAATCGTTAATTCATTTTTTCTGTTTTCGCTACTCAATAGTCAATTCAATGATGCAAGTTTAACGGTAGTCTTAACCCGCCTCAGCCACTTTATTCCGTGTCACTTTCAACCAATGTTAGACCAATTTCAGAGTTTTAAACCAATTTCTTTTGCTCTTTATCCCAAAGTATTCACCAGTGAATATTTTGGGATAAAGAGCAAAATTTTGGGAGTATTAAATCCGTTCAGTTTTAGTGGATACTTAAAAGAATACAAAAAGGAAACAGAAAAAAATTGATGGCACTTCATAATAATCTAGAAAAAAATAAGTGTAGAAAAGCACTTTAATTGTACTTATAAGCATAGAATATATTTATTGATAAACGTCACTTACTCCATGCTTGTCGCTTAAATCGGTTCAAGTGACTTCCGATGCCAGTGTCACTACCATCCACCTCTAAAAATTCATTGGCTAAATCATCTTCACCTTCCCAGTAGATATCCTCTGCTGGAGTCGTCTAGAAAACAAATAAATACACTTTAAGATATAACATTAAAACAGAGAGGAAGTATCGAAATATATGACCGTTAAACCAGAAGAAATCTTATGAAATGCAATAATTGCTTTTTAAATTATTAAGATAACATTTCCATTATTCAAAAGTAGAACGTTTTCTATGTTTCATACAGAAGTATGAACTATAACTATGTACTTATTATAGATTACCAAGGTAGTATAAGTGAATAACTATGTGATTTCTGTTACAAGTATTCTTGCGAGAAAACTACTTAGTTTTAAGACTTCTATACTTATAAGAAACTAACAATTCCTATGTTGGTAGATAATGTGCTAAGTATATACAATTAGAAGGAGGTTTTGGGATGTCTCCAAGAATAGGTAGGTACTTATTGGTGGTTGGGATTGGTCTGCGCACGTTCCGCCCCGCCCAAGTAACGATTTCGATTTGACGGCCCCCTCGCTCGGAACAAACTGTTTGACCTTCTTATCCGATTCAAATCCGAACAAAGTGTGACCATAATCTATTTTTAAGACCACAAGCTTAGAGCACAACACGATACATGCCTGAACTTCTAACTCGTTCGGAGAAGTTACTGTCGTAGATGGTTTACAAAGTCTTAATGGAAGTGATACTTCTAGATAATCTTTTTAGTCAAACATGCCTTAAAGTATTTCTCAATGAGTTTTTAACCAAAAAGATGAAATAATCTGTAAGATCCATCTAATAATTTTTTTTAAGAAACGCGTAGCAAAAAGGAGTGTTCAGACATATTATACGAGTATATATGCCTTTTACTGCATAATACTATGTTTCGTTGTCCACTCGTTTCCATCTTTTTAGTTCGTTTTTACTCAGTCAGGTATTTTCAATTTTGTATTTTTTTATTACGTACAGCATTTTAGTTTAGCCCATTTTTCGCTTTATTTAAAAAAACAATTATCTTGAATTATTTTCAAACTAATTATTGTTGTACAGGTATATTTTTGTAAATGTCACTTAAAAACCTTCATTATAATACTGAATTGAAGTATAGGTTTGGAAGAAAAACTTTTTAGATCCATTTAATAAAAAAGAAATATAGGATTGGAACATTAAACACATTAGAAAGCTTTATTTTACCTATAAGCCTTAAATCTTTTTCTTTAACTAAAGGAAATCGTAAATTAATAAAAATAAAAGAGTCCCAAAATAATTTTCTGAATGCAAAACGAAATTATCAGTATTAGCAAACCGATGATGCGATAAAATACTAACTTTATCTATAGGTGTAAAAAACTTAAGGCGAATCAACGCGGACGTTTAAATTATTCGTTTGCCTCAAGGTCTGATATTACGTGTTCACAAAATACCAGGAATTTATTTATTTTCTGATGCAATACTAACAAGTCAATATATTTTCTAATACATTATCGACCACCTCGCATTCCTATTTGAATAAAATACATTTTTATCTTTTGTAAAGCATTTTGTGCTTCGAAAAGGAATATTTAATAACTATACTTTTGCGACTTGATACAAAAAAAATAATAATAAATATGTTAGTACATTAACACACAGCAGCATCTAGTTCCATGGTAAGCTACGAGGCTTGTGTTATGGATATCAGATAGTTAATACACTACACATATGTATATAACTTTAAATACATATATACATACTAGCGGACCCGACAGACGTTGTCCTGTCTACACGTCTTTAATTTGAAAATTTCAAACTTTTTTTAATAAGCTAAAACATTCTGGACCATTTTGATGAAAATTATTATTCAAATTGTAAATCTAAAACATTCCCAGATCCCCTTGAACACACACAAAAAATTTCATCAAAATCGGTCCAGTCGTTTGAGAGAAGTTCAGTGACATACACACTCACAGAAGAATTATATATATAAAGATTATAAATATAAACAAACACCCATGACTGGAGCACAAACATTCGTGCTCGTCACACAAATGAATGCCCCCAGCGGAACACGAACCCGCGACCGCTGGCACAGCAAGTAGGGTCACTACAAACTGAGCTAAACGTGTCATCAGAAAAAGTAAAAAAAATACATATTTCTTTATATATCAGACTATTATTATCACGATAGCCTGTATTTCAGTGTGTTTGTTATTCCGTCACGTTGAAACAGCTGAATGGATTTGAATGTGTACCTTCACAGATAGACTTTAACTTGAAGCAATGTTACTTACTTAAGCATCTAGGGATACACCCGAGAGAAACAAGGGAAAGTCGTTAGTATAATATTATAATAATTTACATATGTTGAGATATTAACACACAGCACCATCTAGTTCCATGGTAATCTATGAGGCTTGTTTAATGGATACCAGATAGCTGATACACTACACATATTATATAACTTTAAATACGTACATATTATAAATATAAACACCAATGACTGGTGTACAAACATTCGTGGTCATCACATAAATGAATGCCCTCAGCGGGACTCGAACCCGCAAGAAATAAACATACACGCTCGTACAAAAAAAATCACGTTCCCTTAATTATAATGACTAAAATTTATGGGTTAAGACGGAATAGATACTCAGACTAAATAATGAATTTATTCGAGCTTAGTACCAGACCCTCATAGGAAGAATGTTAAGCACATACAAGAACAATGAGTCACATCTGATATTAAATATTATTTATATATTAATTATTAATTAAAACAACTTATTTATTGATTTTCGTATTTTTTTAATCGACCAAGTTTTATTAAATAAAAAAAATCCTCATAGCTCTCATAACACTATTTCTCACCATAGATTGCCTGGAGGGCATCTTACTTCTAGAGATAAGTCCACCTTTGCAAACAAACATTGTATTTTACTTAGGTCCTGTATTTATTTTTAAGTATAATAAAGAATAATATATACTCGTACTATTACTACTATAGTCGACGACGCGTTTGGCTCAGTTTGTAGTGACCCTACTTGCTGTGCCAGCGGTCGCGGATTTGAGTACCGCTGGGGCATTCATTTGTATGATGAGCACGAATGTTTGTACCCCAGACATGGATGTTTATATTTATAATATGTATGTGTTTAAAGTTATATATGTGTATTATATCAACTATCTTAGCTTAGCTTACCATGGAACTAGATGGTGCTGTGTGTTAATGTCACAACATATTTATATATTTAATTTTAAGTTCGATGATTCCGTTATAAAGTTTATAAGGTAACAGTACCCTAACCTAACCTTTGTTTTTATACATTAATTATATATGAGTCAATGTAGAACTACTAATTCCTAAATAAACATATGATTAATCTTGACGCTTACTTTTTATTAAGATGCGAAAAGCACTTATCAGCAATGTAAAATTACCATGTCATATCCTCGTCTTCAGAAACAGTCGCAATCATCAATCCTTTCATAGGCTCGGCTAGTATCGTATGACAAAGGTCAAAGCGAGAGCAAATAAAAGGCCTCATTAGCAGCACACAACAGCGTGCGATTCACAAATAAATCGACCCTCAAGCCGCAATTAGAGAGGGGAGGCTATGAAGAGGGATTTCTTTGCAATTTTACTTAGTCCTACATGATCCGGAGACGAGTGTGGAAGACGCGGCAAGCAAGATAATAGCCGGCGTCCGGAGACCGTCGTCTGGGGTGCTTTTGCTACATTTTAAACAAAGAGAAACGTTTAACAGGCTACTCTAGCTATTGTAGTGTTTTAGGATGATTCTAAACAATTATTACTATATCTTTCTTTTACCGTTTGTGAATTAAAAATTAAAATAATTCATTATTTTCCATAGTAAAATGAAATTAAATCTATACATATAATAAAATCGTAACTAAGCCGAATTTGTACATTAGATTTTTTTGGAAAATCTTATTGAAATAAACATTATCGATGCAGAGGCCGAATCTATAGTTTTAAGAATGTTTGTCTGTCTGTCTCTCTGTCTCTTACCGCATCACAGAAAAACCACTGGAGGGATTTTGATAAAATTTGGTATGGTGATAGCTGATTATCCGGGTCAACATATAGGATACTTTTTACCGCGGGAAAATATCTAATTTTGAGAAAAAATACAAAAAGTGCAAAGTAAGAGTATACTAATATGTAAAACCTAAGAATTTGGTTTTTTATCATCTGAACGCGGGCAGAGCCGCGGGCAATGCTAGTAAAAAATTAGAGATGTGCCGGCTACGACTTAAGCCGACTAGCCGACTAGTCGGCTGTAAAGAGACCGACTAGTCGGCCAAGCCGAACATTGTTTCGGGGGATTTCTCTCATGCTTCGCTTACCGCTCATTCGCGCTCAAGTCGCAGCCGCCGCCCGCGAACGTGTCAGAATCTGTTTTATTTACTTCGCATTGTTTCTTGAATTTTGCTGTTGTGCGGGTCGGAGCGGTGTTTTTGTGTAAATAATATTTTTTTGTAAAATTAATAGTGTTATTGTTCATTAAAGTGTAAAAGTTTAATTAAAATTTAATAATGTCTTTTGACATCTATATACGAGACTTTCTTTTTAGAAATGATGATGTTCTCCTCCTAGCCGATTCCGGCCACGGCGGCCAATCTCAATGAGATTAGTCAACTGCGCAGGAGATATTTTAGTGCTCAAGTGCACGCGCAGACACAAGTGCACTCTCTATTCCTATCACTCTCATACTCCGGTGGGACGACCACTCGACACGACCGGTGAGAGTTAAGGCGCAGGACCGACGGCTTTACGTGCTTTCCGAGGCACGGGGGTGAAACACCGCCAACTTCCCAACTCCGGGCTGTTACTGAGACTTACTATACAGGAAGACTCAATAACTAAACTCGGCCCGACCCGGGACTCGAACCCAGGACCTCCGGGTGTGCAGCCGTACATGCTAGCCACTAGACCACCGAGGCAGTTTTTTTAGATATATATATATATATATATAATATATATATATATATATATATATATATATATATATATATATATATGCAATTCATTTAATAATTTTTTATCATTAATTAAAATATAGCAGGTTTCATTGTGCATAACAAAGAATAAAATTACATTATTCTTTGTTATGCACAATGTTTATGTATTACATTAAAAATATTCTTCAGGGTTATTTTTCAGGGTTCCGTACCCGAAGGGTGCCAACAGAACCCTATTACGAGGCCTCCGCTGTCCGTTCGTCCGTGAGAGGGCTGTATCTCGTGAACCGTAATAGGTAGAGAGTTGAAATTTTCACAGAGTGTGTATTCTATTGCCGCTATAACAACAATACATAAAAATAAAAAAAAATACAAAAAACATTATTTTACGTTCGTAATCGGTCATCGAATTTAATATACTACATACATAGAATAAAAGTCATATAAATAAAAAGTACATGTACGATGGTACGGAACCCATCGCGTGCGAATTCGACTCGCACTGGACCGAATATTGAATGGCCAACGCTATATTTAATGACAACGAATATTTAATGGCAAAAAGCTAAAACTATAAACCTTATACAAGACATTATGACAAAAGTCAAAATTGTTTCTTAGAAATTGTATGAACATAATAAAATTACGACACTGCCATATCTCGCATGTTGGTTAGCTCAATCTTCAAATTTATTATGATGTCACGGGGGTATTACAAAAGATAAATGTGGCGCCTCTAAAATTGGGCACTTTAATTACAAAACTTGGTCAAGCGCATATTAATAATTGGTTCTCGTTATTGTTAACTATATATAAATGAACAAACAAGATGATCTTAATTTCCGTTACGACGAAAACTTTCATACACTCGTACACTTACTTTAGATCATAAGTCTAGGCTCATTGTAGTCGTAGTTCGTGTCAACAATATAAATAAACAAAAATATTGATAAATATAGTAATTACTGCATTATTATTACATGAGTCTGAGTGTTGGCTCGATTTATGGAATATCGTATCAATAACATAAATGCGAAAGTGTTTGTTGGTTGGTTCTTTTTCCATCCAATAATAGTCCAATAGATTAACATGATTTTAATAGTAGAGATAGTTTAGGGGACGC